GCTGCTGAGACTGGAGCGTGCCACTAAGAGGTGGGGCCTTACCATCAGCCCCACCAAAACTAAGCACCTGCCTGGGTATTTTGTACCATCGGACACTCCACCGCCACACCTCCCAATCGGTGATGGGGCAGTTGTGGAGAGAGTGGAGAGTTTCCCATACCTGGGCAGTGTGCTTATGACTGGCTCCAGTTTAACAGCAGAGGTCTCACTCCGAATCAGTCGAGCGGCAATATCTTTTCATCGGTTGCGTAACGCTGTGTGGAAGCTACCTGGTCTGTCGCTCCGCACTAAGCTTCAGGTCTTCTCGGCCACGGTCATTCCCTCCCTTCTTTACGCTTGCGAAACGTGGACCCCCATAATGGAACATCTTCGCCGGTTAGAAACATTTAGGCTGACCTGCCTACGATCCATCCTGGGTTTAACCAGACTGGATTGTGTGAGGAGCTCACAAATCCTTGAAAGATCTGGGCAGGGTCCCATCGGTGAGCTCCTCCGGCAGGCAAGGCTGAGATGGCTGGGTCATGTAGCCCGCATGCCCAGCCACCGCATGCCGAAACAGCTTTTGTTTGGCCGGATTGAGGGGGCTAAGCGGGCGCGGCACGGGCTAGAGAAGAGATGGAGTGATGTGGTACAGGAGGACGTGGAGCTGAGTGGACTTGCCGATGACTGGTACCAGCGGTGTCAAGATCGGCCTCTGTGGAGGAGGCTCGTGAAGAATGCTACTGGGCAGTTGGAGGCAGTCGCCCTCCAACAACAACGGAGGGCGGAGGAGCGACGCTCACAACAGCGAGCGGAGCGCCGGGTGGCTAAAGCACAGCAGGTTGGCACAGTAGGGGGCACAGGTGGTGCATCAGCCAGTCATCTCAGTCAGTCGACCCGTGGCACCTGGGTCTGCCCCGTGACCTCCTGCCAGCGGGCGTTCGACACTTCACGTGGCCTCAGGGTGCACATAGCCTGGCACAAGCGTCGTGGTGACGTCACCGCCACTTAGTGGCGAATGGGCCTAAAGAGTTGAGCACAGTACCGGCGGGGTGAGCCAACCTGGCGCCTTGTGGTGTGGGTGGCAATGAACGTCAGCGCTTGGGGCGGTGTTGGGAAGGGGACACAAAGACGTGGCCTCTAACCGCAACTACTGAACTACTTCCACTTCGCGTGAGTCGCGCCGAGCCGAAAATAGGTGCTCGCTAACATCATCTTTCCACCGGTCACAGCTTCTACGTAACGGGAGGAATATTTGTCAACAAGCAGCATCGGGCGTGTGACTTATAATAGAACACCTCGTGCGGCCGACAGGGAAGCTGCTGCTGCTGCTGTTGATGTTGCGTAAAATTCCGTTTGCAATCATTTTCCCTTCTCGTTTTTGCCGAGGAAGTTACGAACGAGCGACTGGACGCGCACACCAAACGCCCGAAATGGTTCAGTTCCACGAACAAAGCCCTAGCGGGGACTTCTGCTTTTCGTGACGTTGCGACACGAGGCAAAGACAAAGATCCCTCTTGTGTAGCCTTGGCATCATTTTGGGACAAGTGCTGTTAGCGAGTCGCAGCACCTATGAAGGCTGGCACAGTACACGAGGGGGGCGGTGGCCAGCACCACGCCCGACCGCCTTTGTCTCCCCGGCGGCGATGATTTACACACCGCACCGGGTGCTCATTTGAGGCTCAGTCCTAGGGGGAGGCCCAGCACCGGCCTAAATAAATCGTCACTGGTGTTGGTGGCCGTGAGCGGGAATTGAAATGTAATCGCCAGATTTATAGCGCAACAACGCTAACCACTACACGACCGCTCCCCACATTGCGGCACAGACACACAGCAAGACACCGAAGGAGATTTCGCAAGCCTCCAACCAGACTAGAAAGTTCCCATGACCATCTAAAATATGTTGTTGTTGTTGTCATTGGTAACACGACGACCTCTGAACCAGTACTTGACTTCAGAAATAACAAGTCCGGAACGCTTTTACGGAACTGATTATTTCATGCGACATCAACTCCCACCCTGTGTTGTCTTAAACCTGTACATCGGATTATAAGAATATATAGTCCAATGGTAGGTGATTATTTTGCGTCGGCGTACCTTGTACTGTAGTGGTAGTGCCTTACGCTGGTAGTCTCTTACTCGCAAGCTAGCCAGCCAGCCAGGAACGTTCCGGAAAATATCGAGTGAGACACGAAGCTCTGCTTCCATGACGTGTGGATCAGCAGTATTACCATGAAAGGAGAAAGTGGAAAAAAACTGAAAAGGGTGTAAATAATGTAAGCAGGAACGCATCCTTGGAATGATCTTGGGAGACGCATGGAGGAACATGTGGATTAGAGTACACACGCAGGGTACAGGCACCGTTCTAACTGTTAGGAAACGCAAATGTACTTTGGGGAGGGCGTTAGTGATGCCACCAGATGGGACGATGAGCGATGGTCGAGGATAATCTATCGATATTTATGATCTTTATGCGACCAGGTAAGGCCCACTCAGCTATAGAGATATTTTTCAGAAGCGACCTAGCTATCACAAATGATAGCTCAACGAAGTGGCTTATCACGTGGAAATGTATAGCAGACAAATACTCAAAACGCGTGTCGATTCTAAACGTGGAGCGAAAAACCGGAGCACCCAGAGAAAAATCCACGCGACCACGGGGAGAGATACATGCAAATTCCAAATATACAGATGTCAGGCTCTGGATCGAACCCCACGACCTCCTGCGTACCAGGCGCGGTAGTTAACATCTCGCCACTGTGGCGTCCTAGATGGCACGATGAGCGATGGCCGAGGACAATGACGGAGCGGGAACCAGAGGGTGGAACGCGCTTGAGAGGATTCTTCTAGCGACGAGCGGTGAACAAGTGAAGACAATCTCAATGTGTGTTATACAGACAAATTGGCGATCCACTGCTGGATGAAGGCCTCCCTGTGGGGAGGCGTTGTCTGACCATGCATGTGGTGATCGGGTGTTGGTGAACAGCGGGTGGGAAATCCAAGCCCAGTTCAGGTGACTCGGTGAGGTTTGGGAGTTTCACAATATCACGACGTGATCCACCAAACCCACCGCTCCCAAAGAGCTCGGATCTGCCGCAGTCGTGCACGGCCAACGCATGAATCGCCCGGCCCCAGCACGCTACGGTGATGTGCAAAGATACCCTCGTTTAATTTTAGATTTGTAGTCGCGCGTAATTGTCAAACTCACAGCTGGAGCGATACCCTCTCTTGCTAACGATGATGACAACGATGCGCTCCGTGAAATTCTTTGGAGATGAGGGTTGGCAATCACGTCGTGATTAACGATACTCTGAAAATCTCTCTGGGCTGCCGAGGTGGCACCAAGAGATGGTTTACCATATACCCATCAAAGTGGGGCTTTCTTTAAGCGTTACCTCTTTGTTTGTATGCATCTTGGGGGGGGGGGGTTCCTCCGGGTACTCTAAGACTCCAGCTTTCACGCGAAGCCAGAGACTTGGCGAGATGTTAACTATCTCACCTGGTATACAGGAGGTCGTGGGTTCGATCCCGACCCTGACGAATGCTGTATATTTGGAGTTGGCATGTTCTCCCCGTAGTCACGTGGATTTTTCTCTGGGTCCTCCGGTTTTTCCCTCCACATTTAGAAACATGCTTTTCGAGTATTGGGCTGCTATAAATGTCAACACGATAAGCCACTTCGCTGAGCTATCATTTGTGGCCAAGTCGCTTCTGAAAAAGAGCTACATAGCTCAGTGGGCCTTACTTAGTAAAATTAAAAAAATATATATAGTTTAGTTTTGAGTTACAATGCTGAAGCTATTCACCGATACTAAATAACTACCAATGATCACTGTTCATCAGTCACTTCAGGACTAATTCATCCACAACTGAATGAAAAGTGCAGCCTGGAAGCGTATCATTAAGTAATACTTGTTACAATTACAACTCCTTATAAAGGAAACGCATACTAATTAACTGATTACTAATCTCCATATATATAAAAGGCAAAGTTGTGATTATGTGTGTCTGTTCAAAACGTTTAGCGTACTTCCCGACATGCAACAAACTTTAAATTTACGACACAACATTCATACTTACGCGATTTCACCCAAAACCCTTTATTATTAATTAAAATACGATGTCTATCAAGGACCCGCGGTGAATCCCGGGTGACGGTGCAGCCTCACAACAACAACAACTATTATTCGTCTTCACTCGAGGCCCCCCGTATTCCTCGTGGCATCGCTCAGTTGCGCACAAAGACGCGTGAGTCAGCGGCTCAGGCCATGGCTCGGCTCGAGATGCGCCTCGCGGGAGTCGCGAGCGTGGCTCGCACCGCGCTCAGAGCCGGCTCGCTTGACGCCAGTCCTAAGCCTGAGCCGAGCCCGTGATGAAGAGTACGGTGCTTCGATACCTCTCTATTTCTCTGCAATGAAGAAAGGAAATGTATCCGAAACGTCGCTTATTGGGAATATATATAGGTTGCCTTATCGGGTGTAGGGTTATTGACAGTTGAATATTGCTGCTTTTTTTCTAAAGAGTTTGACCGAACTACCGGATGTGAGCAGCACCATCGTGAATGAGCGCCCTTGGGACTCGGCGAGGCTCCGCTGGATGAGAAAGCGACAGCGGCAACCCCGCTGCTCGTGAACCCAGCCCCGGCACCGACAGCGCCGGGCAGCGGGCGCACCGCGCAGGGCATCGCTTCCAGCGACGAAGTGGTGATAGTGGTGGCGATGGTGGCGGCGATGGTGGTGGAGGTGGTGGTGGAGGTGGCGGTGGTGAAGGTGGTGGTGGTGAAGGTGGTGATTGTGGTGGCGATGGTGGCGGCGATGGTGGTGGAGGTGGTGGAGGTGGCGGTGGTGGAGGTGGTGGTGGAGGTGGTGGAGGTGAAGGTGGTGATGGTGGTGGCCATCCTAATTGTGGTGGTGTACTTGGAAACCGTGAGCTCCCCCCCCACCCCCCACCCCCCCCCCCCCCCCCCCCCCCCCCCCCCGCTTGCACACTATGCGGCCAATTGGGTTGGCGAATGCCGACAATAATATAATCAATTAACCCGGTAAGTGACGAAAAAACCCCATCGCAACAGAAACCCTAATTATAAGCCATCAACAAAACTACGAAACGAAACTTTTTATTTCACCAGGTTAGGCCCATTGAGCTATATAGCTCTTTGTCAGTAATTTAATTTGGTGGTGGTTAACGATAATGACTATGATGGAGTTTAGTAGCTGATGAAATGACAACCCCGTGACCGGGTTCCACGGGAGTGAAGCAATCGTGTCACACTGGTGATGACCTATTTCCTTAAATGTCAAGCTCTTACCACTACTTCTGCGTAAAACTTCAGATTCAAATTCTTGTATGTTTACTTTGTCTCTGTGCTTTGTCATGATCATGACGATGGTGTATCGATTCAGACGACGTGAAAGCTGAGCGGGAGAATGGCCAAAAATATCGGACGGGCGAATAAACGGACGGATGAACGGACTGGCGGGCGGGCGGATGAATGAAAGGGCAGACAGATGGAATCGTTGGATTTTGAACGGATGGACAGTTCGCACGGAGAGACGAAGGACGGATGGTCAAGGCGCTTTGCCGTGTAACCCATAAGGAAGAGGAGAGGAATTCATCCAACAGTCCTGTGATGTTGCCGTCTGCAGCGGTGCACAGGCAAAATAACAAACGTTCGTCACATCCGTCAATAACGCTACCCTACGAGTAAACGCGCATAAATAGCGCGACGTTTCGTGCAATGGCCCGTCTTCATTGCTCCCCGCTAACTGCAGGCGACGTGTGTTGAGTTTGGGATAAGCCGTGGTCACTGTGACCGGCAGCAGCGGCCACTATCTCGCCACGTCCGACTTGAGTCACCTCCCCCCCTCCCCAACACCCACTCAGTCCTCGTGATATAAACCGAAGCGATAGTGACAACGCAGCGCTTCCCTTGCGCGACAGCTCGTCCGCTCACTGCCCAGTGGAACGCGCAAAAGCAGCAACCCGCACATTAATCATCGCAGGAAAACACCATCGCCCCGCGCAGAATCAATGAGTGTTAAATAATGTGAGCCGCGTGACGCCACGGCCTGGATGTGTCTCGCGACTCGTTCACTCGGTCGTTTCATTCATTCAGAGGTTGTTGTCTACAGCGGCTCCTGCCGCCGCCGCTGTTGACACCGGTGATGTGCATCTGATGTGAATGTAAGTTGTTGCTGCTGCTGGGGGTGGTGGTGGTAGTGAAGGAGGATTTGGTAATGGAGTTGGTAGTTGAGGATTAGGTGGTGTTTTTTTTGTCGTGGTGGTGTTAGAGTGCTAGTGGTGGTAGTGGTTGGTGTGCTTCTGATAATGATGATGGAGGGTTTTTTGTGTGGTGGCGTTGGTTTTTGGGGCTGGCGGAGGAGGTTGTGATGCGCAGGAGAAGAAGTAGGTAGTGGTGGTGTGGTAGTGGCCGTGGTGAAGGCAGCAACTGCTGATGGTAGCACAGATGTTGTTAGAGGTAGTTCTCGCGGTAGCTGTGGGTGTGGTTGTAGCGGTGCTACTCACAATGGCCAGGTGGGAAGGTGCTCGCTACCAGCGTCAATAGTGTCCATTAAAGGCGATTGGGAGATGTTTGTGTTGTGCTGCTGTGTTGCTGTTGCCCATGAACAAAACCGGGCCTTAAACACGGAAGAGATTCACGCTTTGACCGGGTCACGACACGAAAAGAGTCGACCACGGTGCTTGCGTAATAGTGGTGTGGGTGGTGGACCCTAGGTCGGCTCAGCCTCAAATGAGAACCTGGTGCAGAACCTGGTGCAGTGTTTAACATCGCCACTAGGAAGACAAAGGCAGTCGGGCGTGATGCTGGCCACCAACCCCCTCGTGTAGCGTACCGACCTTCGTAGATGCTCGCTAACAGCACTTGCTCCAAGGTCTGTTTCAGGCTGTACGGGTGATCTTTGTCTTTGGTGGCGGTTTGGTGGGTGGTGATGGTGTTGTGGGTGCAGAGAGAGAAAAAAAAACGGGGGTGGGGGGTAGTTGGAGGGGGTCAGTAGGGGGGGGGGTGTGATAGAAACATCTCAAAAGTGTGCGCGCCTTTCTGGAGGAAATTCACTCCCCGGGACAATCGTTCTCTCTCCCCCAGGGGCTCTCACTCGAGCACCGCGCTCCAAGCAAGGTTCATCCACCGCGCTCCGGTAAGGCGAGCCCCATCCGTAGTGGCCAAGGACGTGGCTGAGGGCGGTGGGGTGGGGGGTGGTCTCAAAACCCCGGAGTTATTTGACTTGTGGCACGCCGCTCAAGCAGATTTCTCAGAAGCTGCGCCAGGGTTTGATAATCTTAGTGACGCGGCGTGAGAATTGTGTTCTTCTGCGTTTGTTTGTTTTTTCTGTTTGTTTGAGAAATCGTCCTCGGAAGGCCAATTCCGGAGGGCAACTAAAAATTGAGTTTCGAAATCTGCGTTTTCAAGCGGTGACTTGAGATTGATGCCGCCGCTCGGTGCAGTTCTACTCATTTCTTAAGGCGGGATCATGCTGGATGATGGGATTATAATAATGATGATCATGACGATTTCACAGGAATGTTTTTCTTAAGGATTCAATGCATTTCTGAGATCTTTGTTGTCGGCGTGCAACGAACGTCAAGGGTGACATTCTGGACGCAACCCACAACGGGTGTTGTTTTTTTTCTCTGCCTATACAACAATAATAGTACTCGTCAATTCGCATTTACTATGAACAAATATATACGTACACGTGTCTTAATTGTTTTTTTTTATGTTACACATGCCGTAGGATATATCGCACGCGCGCGTGTGTGTGTACGATGGAAACACAAAGACAAAGCCATACCCCCGTGTACACAAAACTAGCGGTGAGCGCGCGTCGCCGCACTGATATCACACGCGGTATGATCTCGTCCTCGCGAGGATGTAAATGTACAACAGCTCGGCGCGGCGATTACTGGCGTGAGAGAAAACAAAAAAGCCACGACCCTTCGGCCGTGGCGCACACCGCGTGTTGTACACGGTGCTGGGCGTCGTAGGGACTCCTTCAGTCGTAGGGGACACGAGGTGGAATCCATTAAACATGGACCCCAGCGCGGTTGGGGTGCAGCAGTGGGAATTTTTACTTTGCTAGACAATAGCCCCCCCCCCCGTCCTCGTCCTCCACTCGTCGCCATGTTCATAATCATGAGCAGCATCATCATCATCATGAGCAGCATTATCATCATCATGAGCATCATCATGAACATCATCATCATGAGCAGCATAATCATCATCATGAGCAGCATCATCATCATGAGCATCATCATGAGCCTCATCATCATCATCATGAGCATCATCATGAACATCATCATCATGAACCTCATCATCATCATGAGCAGCATCATCATCATCATGAGCAGCATTATCATCATCATGAGCATCATCATGAACATCATCATCATCATGAGCAGCATCATCATCATCATGAGCAGCATCATCATCATCATGAGCAGCATCATCATCATCATCATCATGAGCAGCAGCATCATCATCATCATGAGCAGCATCATCATCATGAGCAGCATCATCATCATGAGCAGCATTATCATCATCATGAGCATCATCATGAGCCTCATCATCATCATCATGAGCAGCATCATCATGAGCAGCATTATCATCATCATGAGCATCATCATGAACATCATCATCATCATGAGCATCATCATCATCATCATGAGCAGCATCATCATCATCATCATGGGCAGCATCATCATCATGAGCAGCAGCATCATCATGAGCAGGATCATCATCATCATGAGCAGCATCATCATCATGAGCAGCATCATCATCATCATGAGCAGCATCATCATCATCATGAGCAGCATCATCATGAGCAGCATCATCATCATCATGAGCAGCATCATCATCATCATGAGCAGCATCATCATCATCATGAGCAGCATCATCATCATGAGTAGCATCATCATCATCATCATGAGCAGCAGCATCATCATCATGAGCAGGATCATCATCATCATGAGCAGCATCATCATTATGAGCAGCATCATCATTATGAGCAGCATCATGCATCATCATCATCATGAGCAGCATCATCATCATGAGCAGCATCATCATCATCTGCACGACACGGTGCTAAAAATGCGTTCGTGCGGTGTTTTTTTGTGTGCGAGCGATCCGAGCGCAGTGTTTACAAGTTTTGAATGGCTCTTCATTAGCAGCAGCTTCGCTCCCATCCTAGAATTGATTATATCCCAGGTGCCGCGTTCTATGTATGTGTATTGAACTTCTTTCGCACCGTACGTAGCCAATCGTGCTAATCGGAGGTGCGGGACGTATTATATCGTGTTATAGTATACGTGTGTGTGTACAAATTGGAATACTTGAAAATTGCGTGTGACAAAACGCTTTATATATATATTTCCCTGTTGGTGTTTGTCGATGGTGATTATTTGTAGGCGTTTATGAACGCGTACACAGACACGCAAACTGGTTTGGCTGGACTCGTAGCCAGCTGCTGCTGATGACGATGTTTAATTTATTTTGATTGTGCGAAGTCGTTTCTGCCCCTTGGCTCATGGCTCATTCACAATGAGCACGGCGGCTCACCGGGTTCGCGTCGCATAACAAGTTGAGCAGGAGGGGAGTTGTTGATTTAAAATATCAAAGGGCGGCAAAAGTAACAATAATTATAATCAGTAAATGCTGATGATTTTTTGTTTGTATTGTTGCCAGAGCAACAGTAAGAAACACGAACTGATTGTCAAATAAGCGATCAGATTGGAAGTTCGATGTTCGAAATCGCGAGTGATTAAACGGAGTCTTCACTGCATCGCATGGTGAAGTCTCTTGTCAATGCTACCGGGATATCCAAAGGGAGATTGAATAGATGTTTTTTTTTAACGCTATACGGATATTGTTATTTGTATTCGCCGTACCCACAATGCAACATATGAGACCGTGCAAAACATTTGACCTGGTCTTTTATTTTTTTCTATATACATTTTGAACGGTACACATTTGTACAAGTGAAAGGTTAGAAGCAGCAATGTGGTTCGGGAAGAAATTGTTGGATCGTTGTGAATTACCTGCTATACGTATGTCGAACTTCTTCCCTACGTAGCCAACCGTGCTAATCGGAGGTGCGGGGGGGGGCACTGACAACAAACGAAAACGCAAAAAGTAGCTCTGCCGGCGTTATGAATCAGCAACTGGGACAGTGACGAGGAGAGTTGTACAGAAGTCGGGAAAGAGTTCAACGAGGAAGCGTGGGGAAAGACCCGCCCGTTACAACGAGGAGCCGCGTGCATTCGAGATGCAGGTCAAATACGAAATGTGCGTACGTGTGTTGAAATTCTTTCGCACCGCACGTGTAGCGATCCGCGGTAATCGGAGCTTGCGGATGTTAACGTTGGGACAAAAGTAAAAATCGCGTGTTTTTTTTTTGGTCGGGAACACGTCGATAGATAGCGGCGGGGAATGGTCGCCGGCGGTCGAGACGAACAACGGAGTGATGGCCAAGCGAGGGAACGCGTCCCACGATGACTCGACCGAGAGGAGAGAAAGAGAGCGAGCGAGCGAGCGAGTGAGAGTCCATCGGCTCGCGTGTGCGGGAGAGAGGTAGAGGATTGCATCGCGTGACCGCGAGAGATGGCGACGACTCGGGGAGGCATTCATTCAGCAGTGGACGAGGGTGATGATGATGATGGTGACGATGATGACCGGCCCGATCGCTCCCCGTGATTATCGCGTCCCACTCACGAAGCGCAGCGCCTTCGCGTTCACGCAGTCGCCGCGTGAATCCGCGTTGTGTTGCAGTGCCCGTCGACTGCTGATAATAACAACAATTAGTACAACAACAACAACAACAAATAACAAAAACCTAAACAACAAAAACTAAAGATTACTGACATGTCCAACAACTCTGACGCGTGTGGAAGTGCGTTGACAGTCGTGCACAAATAATAATCATAATTTATGATACTAATAAATTACAACCGCATATCTTTCAGGAATTTGCCCGGTGACAAAACATTTTTTTTATATATATACAAAATATATAATTTACAACAAGCGTGTGTTTTCTTTTTTCTTAAAACACGAAATCTATACACGCTCTATATGATACAAGGACAAAGATCCCCCGTATAGCCTTCACAGACTGTTGGGGCAAGTGTTGTTAGCGAGCACGTGTGAAGGCCGACGCGGCACACGAGGGGGGTGAGTGGCCAGCAACACCCGCAGCCGTCTTTGTCTCCCGAGTGGCGATGTTTCCACACCACACAATTTACTCATTTGAGGCTGAGTCGACCTAGGAGAGGCCCAGAATCGGATCGGATATTCTTTACCGATGTTGGTTGTGGACAGGAATCTAAAACTCGCAGCACAGCCCGCTAACCACCACACACTCACACTCTCCACGTGAGTGTGAGTGTGTGTATATATTTATACACAAAGACAAATATCCCCCCGCATAGCCTTAACAGACTGTTGGGCCAAGTGCTGATAGCGAGCGGCACCAATGAAGGCCGGCACTGTGGCACACGAGAGGGAGTGGGGTCTGTCAGTGCCACGCTCGGCCGCTTTCGTCTCCCTGAGCACTGACTCACACACTCACACACAAGTGTGTGAACCAATCCCGGGCGGCAGCGGGGCGGTTAGCGCGTTGCGCTACGAATCCGGCGGCCCCAGCTCGATTCCTGATCACGGCCAACACCCAGTGACGATTTTCTCAACCGGTCATGGGCTTCCCCTAGGTTGACTCGGCCTCTTAATGAGTAACCTGGTACGGTGTGTAGTAAACATCGCCACTGGGGATACAAAGGCGGCCGGGCGTGGTGCTGGCCACCCACCTCCTCGTGTGCCGTGCCGGCCTTCATAGGCGCTCGCTAACAGCACTTGCCCCAACAGTCTGTAGGCTATACGGGGGATCTATGTCTTTGGTTGTCTTTGTGTTCTCATCACGTTACTGATATTGGGGCCGCAGGCTGGCTGGTGGCTGTCAACGTCCCGCAACAAAGTAACCACCCCGCGTGGTGAATGGGACGCGCCTCCTCCGTGCTTTCAACACGGTGTGCGTGTTGGCACTGCGTTGCCAGAGGAGCACAAATACGAATGAATACTGTAATAATACATTGCGACGGCATACGGATCAGGAAAATGGACGGTGAACAAAACTAAAATTTAGGGGGCTAAAAAGTTCCGAAGGAACTCAGAGGAGATGTTGACTACCTCGCCTGTTCTGCAGGAGGTCGTGGGTTCGGTCCCGACCCTGACGCCTGCTGCTGTATATTTGGAGTTTGCGGTGCCTCTCTCCCCGTGGTCGCGTGGTTTTTGCTCTGGGTCCTCCGGTTTCTCCCTCCATATTTAGAATCAACATCACGCGTTTAGAGTATTTGTCTGCTATACATTTCCACGTGATAAGCCACTTCGTTGAGCTGTATTTTGTGGCCTGGTCGCTTCTGAAAAAGAGCTGTATAGCTCAGTGGTGACTTACCTGGTAAAATATAATTTAACAAAAATAGTTGAGCTTTAGAGGTAATGTTCCTGCTTAGATTTACACCGACACGTGGATTAGAGAACTCGACATCAGCAGGACCTTTGGCTAGATACGACCCCTATTATTATTATTATACTGTAGTACTGTGTCATTTAATGTTTACTTTTAGGGCAGTAAGTGTTATTGACGGACCTGTTTAGTCTCTGTCTATATTAACATTATTCATGTGTACTTAGCTGAAGGAGCAATTCAATGCTTGCCAAATCTGCTGTACGCAAACAGACAACGATGCCACCCCACGTAGCCTTATAAAAACCATGTGAAGGGAAAGTGCTGTTCGCGAGCGCCCCAACAGCGCTCACGATGGGTTGGTGAATAATTTCGTCTTCTCCCCAGTGCTGTTGTTTGGTTTGATGTTTTACTCGCCACCATCGGGTACTCATTTGAGGCCGAGTCGACCTAGATGAGGTCCAGGGACACCTTCGGATATCACTCGTCGCTAATGTTAGCCGTGACCACAGGAATCGAACTTCAGTGGCTGGGCTCGTGGGCGCGGTGCGCTAACCACTGCACCACCGCTCCCCATGTATACACACCGATTCCCTGTGTACTCGATATGGACGAGTGAGGCGGGTGCTATTAACACATACGGACAGACATAACACGAACAAAAGATCCCCCGTAAAGCCTTAACGGACTGTTCGCGAGTACATATTAAGGCCGGTACTGCACACGAGGGGGTGGGTGGCCAACACCACGCCCGGCCGCCTTTGTCTCTCTCGTGGCGAAGTTTTTTTTTCAGCTTCGCAACCAGGTACTCATTTGAGGCTGAGTCTACCTAGGAGATGCCCAAGATCGGTTTAGATAATCGCTATCACTGGTGTTGGCCATGAGCGGGAATCGAACTCGGGTCGCCGGATTCGTAGCGCAGCGCGCCAACCGCTACACTACCGCTCCCCACACACAAAGTCCACAAAGACAAAGATCCCCGTATAGTCTTATCAGGCGGTAGGGGAAAGTGCATCCGTAAATTCACGCCCTCTATTTATATTGACATTTTTTTACAAAGTAAGACTCCCTGAACTATGAAGTTATTTTTCAGAAGCGACCTGGCCACAATTGGTAGCTCCACGTCGTGGCTAATCGCGTGGAAAGTTATAGCAGGCAAATACACTCAACAGGCGGGCAATAGCTTTCTATTTAACGCACGACAGATTTTGTTTTTAAACGTCAAAGTAATATAATGTCTAGCTAGATATATTGTTTATGTTATTTTACAACTTGTGATTGTGTGTGTTTTTTTTGTCATTATTACGCTATTGTTACATGACTATATTAAGAGTACGTCCCACAGAGGAGGAGAGAGCTCGATAAAGGTCGTTGCTGTGCAGGGGCAGGGCGAGGTGGATCGCAGGGGTCGTGAGAGGAGGAGGCGGCGACTTGGACCATGAGGCCTTCATCCAGCAGTGGATTGACCGTGGCTGGCATACAGATGGTTGTGTCAAACTGAAAATGTATGTAACAGTAAAAGCGCTGCTGCAGGGTAACGCACCTTGAAGCCCAAAGAGGTCGCCAGCGTTAAACATATTGCGAAGTAATACGTTAGTTTATGTGTGGAGATAAGGGACAGATGGCCGAGATATGCAACGTATTTGTGTAACTATGTTGGCGTGCAAGCTGGTGCAAGCTGGTGCAATGGCGAGTACACCGATCTTGCAATCTCCAGAAGCGGCATATAGAGTACTATCATCAGTCACCAACTCGGGTGAAAACTGCCTTATTCATAAAAAAACACAGAATCGCTCCTGTGATCAATCACGAAGATTAACAATTAAATTTCAGCTGAATATTATTGAACGTTGTGAAGTAGATCCTATTAATGTTATTGTTATCATTAGCGAGTGCACGTACTTGTAATACAGAGATTTCAAAATGTGATCGAACTGACCTGTGTGTGCTATGAAGAAGGCCCATTGTCCAAAACGTCCCCGACTTCATGTATATATAATTGTTATTTTAAGGCCAGAGTGCTAGTGACGAATGTGCTGAATTGTCTTGGCCAACTGTGACCGTGCACCACTGCCAACGTAGCAGCATCACCATGAGGATTTGTTAAATATTCTTCTAATAGGTTTTTCGGAGCTCAGCCCCGGGCAGCTCCGGCTCAAAATGTAAGTAAAGATTGCGAGAAAATGATTCAACGCCTCTGCGTTATACGGCAGCCACGTGTTGGCGTGAGAACACCGAGACGGAGCCTCCATCTCCAGTTGGCCTCGTCTAGACCTCCCCTAGGTCGACTCAGCCTAAAATAAGTATCCGTAACAGCAGTTGTGACCGGAGTGTGAGCTCAACGTTACCAATTGGGTCGAGGGGGGAGGGGGAACAAAGGCGTCCTGGCGAGTCGTGTCTATCTGTGTGTGCGCTGGCGTGGTGCTGGCCATCCAACCCCTCGTGTGCCGTGCCGGCCTGCATAGGTGCTCGCTAACAGCACTTGCCCTAACAGTCTGTTCAAGGCTATACGGGGGGGGAGTATTTGTCTTTGTGTTCGTGAAACCTCACGTTATCCCCATTATATAGGTTTTTGGGTTATTGTATAAACATGTTTTACTTGTTATTTACACGACCTAACCCAAAAACCTCTTATGGATAATATTGGTCGCGAAAGCCTAACCACGTGTTAAATAGACCTCACGTTGCAATCTCATTTGAAGACATTGCATCGTTCTTTGTCGATATCCGTGTTTCTGATTCTCTGCGTCACAGCAGGTAAAACGCATTTGATTATTATCTAGGCACATCGATGCGTTTTTTTTTACTTTACATGCGCATTTTTGCAACAAAATAAAAGGAAAACATTAACAATAATGACGGAACAACAGCTAGAAAGTGCGGAAACAGACACGTACAGACGGATACGGGGACACGTGGATGATGGAACAGGCGCAAGCTAGAGACGTCGTATTGCCCATTGAGAAGAGGAACCGGGCATTGGGAAGGGGACCCCGCGTCGTTCGAAGGAGGGATGATTAGTCGATTGTCGAGACTGAGGAGGAGGGAGAACACGGTCGATGAGACGTCCACGATGTTTGTATTATTGGGCGATGCCGTGGACAAGGGGACTCCGACGTCAATATTATCGTCTGTGTTGATGATGATCGTGGTAAAAAAAAAAAAATCTAATTCGATGAGCGTAGCGATACAAGGGCCGGCACCGGTAGTTCAACTTCACCCTTTGTAGAGCCACGGGTCCTGCCCAGAGTTCACGTATATGCGTACAGATACCATTATAAAATATTCGTGCGCGTGACGGCAAACAAGGCGTTCGGCAGCTAAATGCGAGCGTCATTGGCTGGTGTCCACGACGAGAGGGCTTCAGGAGAGTGTTCGTGTCGCTATTCCTCCGTTAAAGGAGCGGAGACTGCAGCAATCACTCATTTAACGCAGCCGGTGCATTCCTGAAAAGCGCGGCGTTAAGTGAACGCCGCGTTAAGCGAGGAATTACTGCGCTGTACTGAATCATTGTTTCACTTTCAGTCAGCCTTACGGTCATCCCATGGCAGAACAAAGACTTGAGCTGGGCTGTATCATTCCGCGTAATGTCTCAAACCGCTCAGCCGCGCAGCTCAAGGAAGTAGTTCGTTATCGAGCGCTGAGAAACCCCGTT